GCATTTAACCCCCTCCCTGCCCCCTCCCCTTCCCAGCGCAGGGTGACGTCACGCGGCGGCAGGAGAGTTGGGGGGAGCAAGGGAAGCTCAGCGGGCAAGGGGCGTCCCTCTCCCCTCTCCCCTCCCCGCCGCTGCCTGCCCCAGCCTCTCTGCCGATATTATAGGGGCCGAAGCCTGGAGCTCAAAGCGCAAAGTCAGCCAGTGCAATGAACTTCTGGAAACCTTTCCCTTTTTATACCGTTCAGTTTCTGAGAGGCAGAGACAGCCTCCTCTGACGCCTTTTCCCCCCTTCCATTATTTTTCCAGGCTCTGATCTCCCTGCTCGCTGCACCGAGGCGCTCGGCGCAGAGCCCCGCTCCCCATCCTACCTTCTCCTTCGTCTCATTGTTGTCCTGGCTGCTGTGGCTCTCGCTTGCCTTCCAGGAGCGCGGTGGCGAGCCCACTCGCACCCCCCTGCACCCTCCCGGGGTCCCGAAAGCATCTGCTCGCAGGGGGGCAGCGAGCGGCCGCCGACTTTGGGTCATTTCGTTGCTTTTTTCTTTTTGCTTTTTCCTTTTTCCTTTTTCTTTTTGCTCCTTTTTTTTTTCTTCCCCCCCCCCTCCCCCCAATTAAATCTTTCTCCATCCAAATCTATCATTTTATCCCTGTGCATTCGAATAGAATAAACTCTATGAATTTGAAAGTTGTCAGGGTAACAGCGCTCCACCTAACTCACTGCAACTTCCCAGTGCGAAGGAGCCAAAGAGAAGAAAAAAAGACTTGCCTTCATTGCAAACCAAGAGCAATGGGACTTAATAGGAAGTAAATACTGTTTTTAAAATCAAATTATTACTCTTGAAATGTTTTGCATATTAAAAAAAGCAAGTAGTATATAACGCAGTAAGGAAGAACATTAAATAATCAGGATTTGGCTGGTCAAACCCAAGTGCTTTCAAGCGAGCCTACGTACCTTTTTATTAAATGAGCTCTGCTGTTCACGTAGTTGGAATCGAAGGAGTAGTTTTCAGTCTGGAAGGAGGAAAATAAAAGGGAGATGGTTACAAGTCTGATTTCCCCATGACTGGGAACAGCCGGGTTTGCAGGGCCAGGACAAAAGCC